TTTGTTTGTTTGTTTTTTCTCCCCCCCAAAGCATGGATTGAAATGGGAATTTTGTCATGTTGCATCATATTGTAGTCATTTGAGATTTTTCTTGTCTACATTTTCTTAACTTGAACTTACTCTGTACATTGCACAGCATATTTAGTAGCCTCTTCTTCAGCAGCCTGTTTTTCTGTAGTATGAATAATTTGTCTCAATAAAAGTTAGACTTTGACTAATCCAAGTTGAGTTTGTGGTTAATTGAGTTACTTGGACTTGCAGTGAATATTTTCTCAGTTGGTTTGCGGCATGTGTTCATATCCTAAGGGGAACAATTTAGGTTTGTTTTTTTTTTCTTTCTTTTTTTTTTTTTTTGCTGCTCTTGAAACAGGAGTGTGCTGGAAATCACTGATTTAATCTTAAAGATACTTTTGTCTGACACAGGATGAATTAAATCTTATTTGAAAGGGTTTACTATTGTTACAGTTTATAACAATTTAAAAGCAGCAAACACTAGAACTATGGAGTGGATTTCTGTATGTTGTAGAATACACCTTTGGTTATTGGTGAACTTAAGCCATCCTCATGTTTAACATAACTTTATGCAATTTATTATTTTTCTTTAATATCTTTTCAGATTTTTATTTTTTTTTAATGAGGAGTTAGTAATGTACCACTATAAAAGTAATTCTGACCCAAAACGCTACTAAAGCACCGTTAGGCGAGCTCAGTAAACGTGTCAGTTCTTCACTGAATAAATAAACATTTGCACAAATAATGAAATAGAGCAATTAAAATAAGCAACAAGTAAAGCAGGTGAACAAAGAACAGGCGCAGCGGGTTGCCTCAAACTCCGTACCCGTCAATTTACACGCTGGAAAAGGAAGCGGGACGGAGCAGTTACAAACTTGTCTAATCCTACCCCAACTTAAGAAAAGTTTAATTTATTCAAAAGCTCCTTTGGGATAATTAAACTACTGAGTTCAGAGTTACGTATTTCATGTATTTTCCATTTGTTTTTAATTCTCCAGTACGCATCCTACAGCAGTCCAGCCCTCACAAACCAGTGTTACAGTTTACATCAAGGTGCAGAATATCAGTATTAGGTAATAATGAGATTAGACCTCAGTAGTGTGCATCCTGGATAAAAAAAAAAAAAAAAAAAAAGTTCACAAACTTCGCAAAATTTCCAATTTCTTTCTAAAATATCTCTTGTATTATTTAGTTAAATATCTGATATGCAAACAATATAATTGGGTAAAACTGTACATTATATTTACAAGGAAAAATGTTTAAAAAGTGAAAATAAACACTTGGAAAAAAAACCCAAAAAATAAAACAAAACATAAAACGTATTCTTAAATTAACAAAAGTTGCGATGTTGTTGTGTGAAAATATGGCCTACATTTTTACACAGACCCATCGACAACCCTGATTTCGTTAGAAATAAAATAATGATACACACCGAAAGTGAATAAATAAAGAGCAATACTGCATTTTACAGCAAAACTTCAAGTGTGTAATTTCGGCTGAAGGCCTTTTTAGGCCCCTGCTCTGCAAAGTCCACCTTCAGAACCGGCTGCAAGGAGTTAAAAAAATAAAAATAAGACATCACAGCGTTAGGGATTTTGCAGACTCTCCAGGAAATCAACAACATCTCTATGGCCGTGCTGTCTGGCTAAATCGACAGGCAGACGGTTTAACTTGTCCCTGGCCTGTGGGTCTGCGTGGTGCTGCACTAAAAGGTGCACAGTGTCCAGAAAGCCCGTCCGAGCAGCGTCGTGCAGCGGGCTTGCCCCGGTGCTTGAGTCCCCCACGTTGGAATTCGCTCCATGCTCGAGTAACAGCTGAGCCACCGACGTGCTCCCCATCATCATTACCTACACACACACACACACAAAAAAAAAACATGACCGGGAATCATATTAACCGATTTAACTGAATCCGATTATTTTACTCTGAAGCACAAAAACTATTTCATGTAAGCCCACCGTCACTCACTAATATAGGCGCACATTAAGCACAAGTACAGCGCCAGTTAATTATTTTTGCACTATTTGCACAGGCACTTAACACTGTGCGTTTATTTATTCATGTATTTATTATCATGCGGCTGACTTTAGTGTTGACTTTCATTTTACTTGAACCCGAGTCTTCTACACCCAACCAAAACAGGCCTGCTGTGACTGACGCGACAGGTTTTTTAAAAAGCTCCAAAGAATGTAGATAAGATGGATTATTGTAGTTGTTGTAGTGCAACAACTGAAGAGGCATTTCACTACCGATCAGCGCAACATGTGGGCCATGAATTCAAATATACATATATATATATGTGTGTGTGTATATATATATATAAAGAATGCGTAAAAATATATTATGATGCTTTATATTGTTAAAGTATTTTTGTGCCACATATATTGCAATGCAGCCTAGTTTTTTAGGCCAATCCAAAGGCAAGAAACAATATTATAGTTTCATTTCACTATTGATGCCGTTACAGCTTTTACAATAAACCAAAGGGATCCGGGATTGTTGCTTTTCCTCAATAAAAATACGCGACTTCCATAAACAACAAAGCGCGTCACTTTCAGACCCGTCGTTTCTTTCTTTCTTAATGATTATTATTATTATTACTGACATGTATAAATCTCTAATAGCTAATAGTTGTAAAAAATAATAGAAATAATAAGGATTTATGCCTGCGTTTGCCATTTGGAAACTTTGAGTTACCCCGCCTGATGAGACCCGTGTAAGTGGGAGAAAGTGGGCTGTTACTGACGGCACTGACCTGCAGAGCGGTTCGTCCAAAACTGTTCGTCCCGTTAACTTGAGCCCCTCTCTCCAAAAGAGCCTCCACCGCAGCCGTGTTTCCCTTCGCCGCGGCTGTGGTCAGTTCATCCTGGAGAGTCATTGTCACGTCCATAAAAACCTGCTGCGATAAGCTCCGTGTCAGGCTGCTCTGACAGGTAGCCCGGTGATGCTTAAACGAGGAACAAAAAACGGCACTTAAACGCAACACGGTACCCGTCGAATAGTCCCGGCTCCTCGCTGGTGTGGTCTACGGTGTGGTCTTCAACCGTCCCCGGCTCAACAGTTTTTTTGGATCCCCCGGTTGCCTGGGTCGAATCAGCAACGCCGCTCATCGCCTGCCGGTGTGTGTCCGGGCTTGCCTATCGCTTGAATTGAGTGACGTCACCGTCTAGCTGTGACTGCAGAGCCGTTGCAGTGGTGCGACTGTGCGCATGCGCCTCAGAAAATTCGTTTGAAAGAACACGTCCTGCTCCCCGTGCTTAACCGGGTTTTTACTGTGAGGGGATGCTGGAAATGAGCTTTTACCGACAAATGTGACAAACCTCGACTAAACAGAATTGTTTGGGAGTTTTTCGTGATTTAATTAAAAAACGCAGCGGATTAAAGTAACTAGGTAGGCTGCATTTTTATCAAGTAGTGCTGTAGAATCCTCTTTGAGGAAGGCCTATTTATAATTTTGTCTACGAGTTAGCTAAATGTAAGTGCTCTGCTGCTTTATATTTTCACAGCATTTCAGTGTAAAAATATTGTACTTTTTACTGTTTTTACTCCAGTGCAGTTTTTAAACTTCTATTTTCTATTTAGTGACAAAGTGGGCAGGTTAATTTATTACTGCTACTATGCTGCTAGTTATATGTAAAGTTACAGCATAAAGCAGTAATGACATTTTGCATAATTACTGCTTTTTCAGGGTGACCATTTATAATATGGTTATGTTAAGAAGCAAATCAATCTAGCTGGCTGTGAATATATCCAATCAATATTGTGACTTACTTTGTGCAGTTCACATTTGACCATTAAAAACAGAATATGACTAAGCAGTCTCACCCATCTATATATTATCACTGTGCCAGAGTTTTCAGTATCACATTATCTTCATTAGGGTAGAAATCTGTGTTCAGATAACATTAAATAGATGACAATACTCCGAGAAAAGGAGACTTGAGGTTCCACAGCTCGATGGTAATTGACTAGCAGCAGTAACTGTATAATTAATGGTTTCCTTATGTCTGATATATTTGATTATCTAAGCCAAAACAGATAAAAGTAATTGTTTAAACTTTGCTTTTTTCATAATGGTAACTGGTGTCATAGTGAAACTGCAATGCTGTGTTTCTTCATTTTTAAACCAGTTTTACCACATCTGGGCTTGTTCTACCTGTCAGATGACAAAATCTTTTTCATAACCTCTTTCCCGTCATGTTCATTCACTTAACCAAGCTGCTCTGCTGTTCACTGCTCCCCACTTCCTTCTGGCGTCTAACCTCTAACCCTTTAGAAATACAAAATCTATAATCCTTTATTATGCATTCCTCAGCCACCATCTTCCCCTGGCCACTGTCCGTT